ATATTTATTGAAAAATTTCAACAACATCTGCATGTTTTCTCTTCTTTCCAGATCTGTAATGTTAAACCTTTTCTTATTCAAATAAATGTTTAATAATAATTTTACAAACAGAATATAAAATAATAACATTTTAAATAAGTCATGTCTCTATAGTCGATCTGTGTGCGGCGGCGGCAGATCTGACACGTGTTTGATCTGATCTCACAGGCCAAATATTATTATATTACGAGCCAAATTTGGCCCCCGGGCCTGAGTTTGACATGTCTGATGTACACTGTAGTATTCCTGTACACTGTAGTACTCCTGTACACTGTAGTATTCCTGTACACTGTAGTACTCCTGTACACTGTAGTACTCCTGTACACTGTAGTATTCCTGTACACTGTAGTACTCCTGTACACTGTAGTACTCCTGTACACTGTAGTATTCCTGTACACTGTAGTATTCCTGTACACTGTAGTACTCCTGTACACTGTAGTACTCCTGTACACTGTAGTACTCCTGTACACTGTAGTATTCCTGTACACTGTAGTACTCCTGTACACTGTAGTACTTGTACCTGTACACTGTAGTACTCTCCTGTACACTGTAGTAACTCCTGTACACTGTAGTATCCTGTACACTGTAGTACTCCTGTACACTGTAGTACTCCTGTACACTGTAGTACTCCTGTACACTGTAGTATTCCTGTACACTGTAGTATTCCTGTACACTGTAGTATTCCTGTACACTGTAGTACTCCTGTACACTGTAGTACTCCTGTACACTGTAGTACTCCTGTACACTGTAGTATTCCTGTACACTGTAGTACTCCTGTACACTGTAGTACTCCTGTACACTGTAGTACTCCTGTACACTGTAGTACTCCTGTACACTGTAGTACTCCTGTACACTGTAGTACTCCTGTACACTGTAGTATTCCTGTACACTGTAGTATTCCTGTACACTGTAGTATTCCTGTACACTGTAGTACTCCTGTACACTGTAGTACTCCTGTACACTGTAGTACTCCTGTACACTGTAGTACTCCTGTACACTGTAGTACTGTAGTACACTGTAGTACTCCTGTACACTGTAGTACTCCTGTACACTGTAGTACTTCCTGTACACTGTAGTATTCCTGTACACTGTAGTATTCCTGTACACTGTAGTACTCCTGTACACTGTAGTACTCCTGTACACTGTAGTACTCCTGTACACTGTAGTACTCCTGTACACTGTAGTATTCCTGTACACTGTAGTACTCCTGTACACGTGTTCTGTAGTTTCTGTAGTTTTTCCAACTGTTTAAAGTTCACATGTTTCAGATTCACTTTACACAGGTGGAGGTTTAAAGCTGCACTGTGTAACTTTTTGCCTGTTTCCATGGATACGTCATTGCTCTGCCCGGAATGTTCCACAGTGTGACAGGCTTTTACAGGCTCAGGCTTTTACAACTCAAAAATATCTTGAAAAACAGACGTTCTGACTGTGAGGGGGTCGCCTCTCCACAGATCTGACCTGTATCTTCATCTGGTTTGGTCTCTGTGAAGATAAAAAGGTTTAATGCTGCACTGTGGAACATTCCAGGTCACACAATGCAGCTTTAACAAAGAAATGCTGCTGCTAAAATGTATTTGGGCCTTAAAAAACAATAATGTGGTGCAGTGTTGTGACGCGTACGCGAGAGTAAAGAGAATTATAACAAAGTGTCTGTGTTTTATAAACTGTGAAGTGTCTTGCCTTGTGGCACAACCGCAGTGATGAGGACAGAGGGAATCTCACTCCTTTGTTCTTGTTCGTGGTGTTTGTGGTGTGAGTGTGAGTCGGCTCATGTTTTCCGTTGTTTACATGACTGCAGCAGAATGGCCTCCCTTCCTGTCGACACACTGACCCGGGGAACTCCAGTCGACCTGAGGTGTGAGCCTTTTCTGCTGACCTCAGCTCAAAGTGTCCATTGTGTCACAGGGCGGAGCTCCAGGGGAAATACTACGAGACACAAATAGGTCAGGGAGTATTTTTAAGAATGAAGTCAGTCGTGGGCGTTGGATGTGCAACGGAATTACTAAAATACTGCGATTATATTTGTCTTTTTAAATAGAGACAAAAACTAAATTTAAATATTTATCACTGTCTGCTCATCACAAACACCCACAGTTATGCTTTTGTTTCTGAGAATTAGACCTACACAAACTTTATTGATTCACAACGGAAATTATTTGCACACAGGTGCCACACATCACAATAAAATATAATAACAAAGAATAAAAATATAAATGGTCTTAATAAATTGTGAATAAACAGCAAAAAAGAGTCAAATAAAACATAATTATATAAATGTACAAGTCAAAATAAAACTGAAAAATACATAATAAGGTGAGTTGTTGTACAGTTGTAGGGAGTATTATCTGTTCCATAAGGGTGAGTTGTTGTACAGCTGTAGGGAGTATTATCTGTTCCATAAGGGTGAGTTGTTGTACAGCTGTAGGGAGTATTATCTGTTCCATAAGGGTGAGTTGTTGTACAGCTGTAGGGAGTATTATCTGTTACATAAGTAGAGTAGTACTAGAGACTGGTCTTGGTCTCGTCTCAGACTTGAGTGCATTTGGACTCGGTCTTGTTTTGGACTCGAGGTCGGACACGTGTCGAGTTTGATCATGTTTTATTAAATGTGCAGAGGTTAAATGTCACTGTAAAACCAGTCAGAGAATGTGACTGTTAAATGTTTGAACTTGAAAAAAAACAAACACTTGATTCACTTTGAAGTTGTTTTGTGTAAAGATCCAGAGGAAGTGGGATTAAGTCAGACCGACTCGTCAAATCCTGATCTCATCAGATCTCAGAAGCTCAGAGTCTGGTCCAGGTCCAGGTCCAGGTCCAGGTCTGGGTCTGGGTCTGGTCTGGGTCTGGTCTGGGTCTGGACTTGGATGGAGGCTCTGGGAAAATCAGGAGCCACAGGAGACGCCAGTCACAAAAACTGTTGTTGTGTCCTTAGGCAAGACACTTCACCACTTTGCCTAGTTTGAAAGTGGAATGTGTGTGTGAGAGATGGTGGTGCAGATTGACAGTCTCACTTCTGTCAGTCTGCCCCAGGGCAGCTGTGGCTACAGTGGTAGTTTACACCATCAAGTGTGGATGACTGAGCAATGAACTGTAAAGCACTTTTTGTATCTTGAAAGGCGCTGTGTAAATGTAATGATTAATTAATTAACTAATTAAAGAAAAGGTTCTCAAACTGTGGGTCAGGGTCCAAAACAGGAGCACAGAGAGTTTAAATGCAGTAGTTTGTTTGGTTTATTTTAGGCCTAAATGAACATTAGCCAGATCAAATGCACACATTTGTGTTAAAATATCTATAAAATACAAATAAATGTAGAAAATGACAAAGATGGTCTTGATTTGGTCTCGATGGGCCGTGGTCTCGGTCTCGTCTCCGTCTTGACCCTCAGAGGTCTTGGTCTTGTGGTCCTGTGGTCTGGACTACAACACTTTCCATAAAGTTGAGTTGTTGTGCAGTTGTAGGGAGTATTATCTGTAACATAAAGGTGAGTTGCAAACACACAGATTTAGGCTGAGTTCAACTCTCCAACTGAAAACACTCTGTTCCACCTTGTGATGTCATAAAGTGGCAGTTTTCATGTTAACAGCTTCTTTTACCTTGAGTTCAGTAGAAAGAGTCTGAAATGATCTAAATGATTCTATTGAAGGAGTATTGAGTTTAAAAACACAGTGGACATTCACACAGAGATCAGAGTTTAGTGCATTATTGGCTCTTTAAACTGAATTTATCATCAAATCTAACGTGTTTCACATGACACAGAGGAAAAGAAGTTTCTGTGAATTTTAAATGAACTTGAAGAAAATGAGGAAATGACTTTTATAAAAAGTTCTGATGCAAGAAACAAACGGTCAAACGGAAAGAGACAAGCTCCAGTTAATGTATATATATATATATATATATATATATATATATATATCCTCCTACATTTTATTTTGCTTTTTGTCCCTCATTTAAGGATGTTAATGGTAATGACAATAATATTCTTACTGTTGTTATCATTACAATTTTTTTTTTATTTTAGGTTTTTGTTTTGTTTTTTGTTATTTTTAAGTATATATCTTGTTTATAAAAGTGCAGTCAGTGCACTTTATGTGAGTTTAGAATAGTTCAAATACATGGGATTTTTTATTTTCATGTTTTTTATTATTCTGAAAAACATAAACCTGTGTCCTTGTGGTTTTCTGACAAACAAGTCAAAGTAAAGTACTGTACTTTAAAGATGCAATGTGTAACTTTTCTGGTGGAGGTTCCACTGCTGGCAGTGTTTGTCTCATGGAGATGTCAGAGCTTTGCCCAGAATGTTCCACAGTATGGCATTAAAGTCACTTATCTCCTGCACTGATACAATTACAGGTGTTTTTATTACTCAGAAATACTTTGAAAGCATCTGTACTGTAACAGAGATTACAGGGTATTTGATTCCACTTGTCATTCCTTTTATTAGATTAATATACTTTGGTTGAATAGCGCCCTCTTGTGGTGACCGGTGGTGATAAATGCCCCTGGTGCTGAGGGCATGTTGCCAGTTCATGAGAGACGAGCAGGAGGTGGGTCGTGACAGAAGTGAACTTTTACATGTTAATGTGACTTGTTCTCTGCTTGTGGAGCTGCTCGATGTTGAGCCGACGTTTCCTGACCAGGACAAAGTTTGTTTCATGCAGATTAAAACCACAAAAGACAGAACTGTGTCCTGGATATTTGTTCAAAACACAACACAGATGAACTATACGACAAACACAGACGACAGAAAGTTACACAGTGTCACTTTAAACTATGCGGTTTATTTGATTGTCTTTTACATTTATTCATGTTTTCATCTTGACCTGTTTATTCATATGAACATAATATTTTTTTTTAATATATAGATTATATTTCAGTTTATAATTACATTTTTATTTATTTTTTATTAGTAAAAATGTCTTTATAATAGATTTATTTTAAATAATCCGCGTTCCTCTGTTCTCGCGAGACTTGCTCCACAGCGCCGCCTTGTTTCCAGCGGCGGAGCTGCGGCTGGAGCTCAGTCTGGGGCTAATGAAGCCCCTCCACAAACAGCTCCACAAACACTCTGAGCCCGTGTGGCCGCTTTTCTGCGCCTCGGGCCTCCTCACGCCCCGAACACTGCACCTCCCCGCCGCTCCGAGCCCCTGTGCCCCGCTCCGGCCCCGCGGAGCAGCCCGGGACCGCCGCGAGAGCTCCGCTAATCCCCGGGACAGCGGTGCGGCCTGCTGCTGTACCCGGCTCAGAGCGCTCCTCAGGCGGACACCGCGCTCAGGAAAACCCGCGGCTTCTGCTGGATCTGCGTCTGTTCCGCCGCTGTGTTTGTTCGGACTCTGAATTCAGCCCAGTTCTGTTTATCGTGACTTAACTTATTTTGGTGAGTTTTACCGCGCGGCTGCGTGGTTTTATTCCCCGGAGAAGAGCGTTTAAACCCGGGGCGGCCTGTTTTGTTTTTACCGTGAAAGGTGGAACAATAACACGGAGCTGCACGGCTGCACGCACCCTGCACACCCGGGGAGGAGGACACATGCACGGGGCAGCGGGAGAGAGCCGCACGCCTCTGGGACACGGAACCACACGGACAAACACGGGGGGATAAATACTGCGTGGAGGAGGAGGATGCTTGGAGCTACGTTTTGCACCGAAGGGTCAATTAAACATTCAGTGGCTAACGAGGATTAAAGGCCACGAAATGCATTGACTTTTGGTGTTTTTGCGGTAAAGATTGGACGGTTCTTTGCGTTTTACGTGGCGTTTGTGGCGTACGGCAGGTGCACACACATAAGGATGGATCAGACTGGTCCTGAGTGATGCTGCGTGGACGTGTCTCACTAAACGGAGCTACTTTTCTGATCTAAACTTTAAAACTGCCTCTATGCTCCCAGAAAAGCCACCAGATTCTATTCGCGTTGCCCACTCGATACTCGCAGGGGTTTGCACGGTTGTTTTTATCGTTTTAAACCAAGCGGAAATTGTGCTTCTGTAGCTGGAAAAGGCTTTTGTTTTGAAAGGGCGCTCCGGATGCGCGCTCTTTACGGTTAATCGTGGACTTGACACGTGATTTCAACCTAAACAAAAACAACCAAGCGAATGGAGATAAGTTTTACGGGAGCGGAACACTGGATACACCGTGCGTAATTCTCGTTCCAAACCGCTTTACGCACGAACGGAGACTGGCATGGAGAGGTGCGCCGCCGGAGCCCGTGCGTAAAAGTGCCGCCGCGGATGGCCGGTTCCTCGTGTCCGTGGGCAGAGGCTCGTGTCCGCGTGTGAGGCTCCGGGGGTAGACATGAACCCAGTGAACGCCACGGCCCTGTTCGTGTCCGCGGCCCGGTCCGCGCTGCAGTGCGACCCGCGGGACCCCCGAGCCCTCGCCGAGCTCTGCAAACTGCTCCCGTTCTTCCGCCAGTCCCTGTCCTGCCTGGTCTGCGGTGAGTCCCACGGACACACGGGCACAAGGTCTAGTCCTGGTTCTGTCTTGGTTCAGTCCTGGTTTAGTTCTGGTTTAGTCTTAGTTTAGTCCTGGTTCTGTCTTGGTTCAGTCCTGGTTTAGTCCTGGTTTAGTCTTGGTTTAGTCCTGGTTTAGTCTTGGTTTAGTTCTGGTTCAGTCCTGGTTCAGTCCCACTTTAGTCCCACTTTAGTCTCGATTTGGTCCAGGTTTAGTCCCGGTTTGGTCCAGGTTTAGTCTCGGTTTGGTCTTGGTTCAGTCCTGGATCAGTCCTGGTTTAGTCTTGCTTTAGTCCCTCTTTGGACCCGGTTCAATCTTGGTTCACTCCCAGTTCAGTCCCGGTTTGATCCCATTTTAGTCCTGGTTTAGTTTGGGTTTAGTCTGGGTTTAGTCTTGATTTAGGACTGACTAATCCTGGACTGAATCAGGACTAAACTAGGACTAAACCAAGACTCTAACTCCATGGCAACAAACAGGTGGCACCAGGTTACAGGTCAGATCTGTGGAGAGACCTCGCGCCCGCTACAGATACGATCACTTTGGGGCACTGTGGAACTTTCCTCACGGAGCCTGTCATCTTGTTTCCATGTAGATGTTATTACTTTACCTGGACAAGCACCTGGTCCAGCGAAAAGTTTCACAGTGCAGCTTTAATACATCATAAAGTCACTGTATGAAATTTAGACTTATAACAGTTTAGTTCTGCTCTAGTCCTGGTTTAGTCCTGGTTTAGTCCTGGTTTATTAGTCCCGGTGGAGAAACGAGCAGGTGACTGAGCTCCAAAGGAAAAGTTCCAGAGTGCAGCTTTAAGTCGTAAATGTGTGTTATTGTGGTGAGTTTGTTTTTTCTTCGGGGGCGCGTGTGAATGAAACGTGAATGAGACGGCTCTTTGAGAGGAGCTTCCTTAGCAACGGCGGTCGCTACGGAGCACAGCTGCAGAAAAAACAAGGTCCATTCATAAAAACACACGACAGAGAGAAAGAGAGATGGAGGAGAGGAGGGAAGAAGAGGAGAGAGGAGGTGATGAGAGAGAGATGGAAGGAAAGAAACAAAAGAGAAGAGGGAGAGGAGGAGGGAGAGGAAGAGATCAGGTGAGAGAGAGAGAGAGAGAGGAAGGACAGAAAGACACGGAGAGAAGAGGAGAGAAAAAGAGAGAAGGAGAGGGAGGGAAAGAGATGAGAGAGAGGAGGAGACGAGAGAGAGAGAGAAGTATAGGGAGAGATGGAGAACAAGAGAGATGGAGGGAAAAAGACGAGGAGGGAGAGAGGGAGGGAAGCAGATGGAGAGACGAGGAGACAGAGGGAGAGAAGAAGAGGGAAGGAAAGAGATGAGAGAGGGGAGAGGAGAGAGGAGAGAGGGAGGGAAGAAGACAAGGTGATAGAAGGAGAGAAAGATACAGAGAAGAGGAGAGAGAAGGAGGGAGGGACAGAGAGAGAGTTTAAGTAAAGAAAACCACACTTCTTTTTCGTTTGTGTCAGGGTCAGGGTTCATTCTCCACCCACCACACCTGGGAGGGCATCTGACTTTTTAATGAATTGGGCTTCATCTTTCTCTCAAACGCAGCTCTATGCTCAAACAAACCCACCTTTTCCCGCCCTCTCCTCCCATTGGTCGGCCGCAGTGGTGCTGAAAGAGTGACAGGTGTGTTTAACCAATCACAGTGAAGCGTCTTTAGATTTTACAAAGAGACTGAAGTTTGACAAGAGTCGAGACAAACTCAAGAGTGTGAGTCTCCTGAACCCTGTGACCTCTGTGTGACCTCTGTGTGACCTCTGTGTGACCTCCTCTCTCCTCTCTGCAGGTAACCTCCTGTGTGAGCCGGTGGCGCCGGTCGACTCGTCGTGTCAGCATTACGTGTGTTTGGGTTGTAAAGGTCGGCGGATGCAGCTTCGCCCGTCGTGCAGTTGGTGTAAAGATTATTCTCGCTTTGAGCACAACCGTCAGCTGTCGCTGCTCGTGAGCTGCTACAGACGTTTGTGCGCCTACGTGGCCCAGTCGCCCCTCGCCCCCCACATCGCCGCCGCCGCCTCGCACTCCCCCGACCTGCAGGCGGCGCTCTGCGAGGGGAGAGAGATGTGGCAGGAGCAGGAGGAGGAGGAGGGGGAGGAGCCGGACGTGCAGGTGCGTACTGCGGGGGGCGCTCTAAACACGCTTCTGTTCTGTTCTAACTGTGCTGTGTCCAGGACGAGGCCCCGCCCCTGCACGAGGCCCCGCCCCTGCAGGAGGTGAAGGAGGAGCCCAACTTTGTGAACGGACACGACTGTAACGGCCTGTCCCCGGGGCCCGGACCGCGGGAAGTCTGCATCGCCACGGCGACGGGCGGGGGGGCGGGGCTTTCTGAAATCATGGACGAGGGGGAGGGGCCTCTGCTGCTGAGCGTGGAGGAGGTGCTTCGGACTCTGGACCCGCCCCCTTTGAACGGACAAGCTCTCCTCCAATCGGAACCGGCGCCCGTGACGCTCAGCCAATCACAGCCCAGCCCCGCCCACTGCGCGCAGCTCTTCGTCCAATCAGAAAACTCCCCTGTCCTGGCGCCGTTCCGTTGCCATCGGAAACGCTCGCGTTCGGAGAGCGACAGTCAGAAGGTGGCGCCGGTGTCACTGAGCGCGCTCCGTGACCCCGAGGCCACGCCCCCTGACCTCGCCCCCGTCCCCAACGGAGGCCCCCCCCGGGCGGGTAAAGCTCTGCCAGCGCCGCGGCCCCTGAAGAAAACCACAGAGCATCACAGCGCGCCTAAAAAGGCCTGTACCAAAGCCCGACAGCAGGGGGCGCCCAGACCCCGCCCCCAGCCCCGCATCCCCCCCCTGCCCCTGCCACTGCCCCTGTCGCACCCGCCGTCCCCCTCCCTCCCCCCCAAACCCATCTACAAGAAAACCCACGAGAAGAAAGGCTGCAAGTGCGGCCGCGCCACCCAGAACCCCTCAGTGCTCACCTGCAGGGGGCAGCGCTGCCCCTGCTACTCCAACCGCAAGGTCAGACGATCAAATATCGACTTCCAGATCAGTTCGATATCCTTACTGGACATAAAATCGATAAATCGAGTGTTTAAACGTCACATGAGGCTCAGAGTCTGTTACTTCAGTGATAAACAACAAATTCAGAAAACAAGGATCAGGTTTGTCGAACGTTATTTTTGTTTAAAGGAAATAAAAGCGGTTTTCAGTCTCTGGTATCGGTCGATATCGGCAGACACTTAAAGCATTGGTATCAAAATCGGTTTCAGAACTGAAAAAGCTGAGAGCATCTCTCCAGGCGACAGGTAAAGGAGTTTTACATCTAAATATTACGTCAGTTTCATCGTCATAATTAACAGTTTAACACCGAACGCTGAACATCAAACAAACAACAGGAAGTGAAAAAGAAGTAAACAGGAAGTGCATATATTTACAGACAGAATAAGATTGTTGTGTGGTGGTTTAGACGTGTTTATTGTTTTTAATATAAAGTCTTGATGTTTAAACAGTTTTAATATTAAATCTTGATGTTTCCGTAGGCGTGTCTGGACTGTATCTGCCGCGGTTGTCAGAACTCGTACATGGCAAATGGCGAGAAGAAGCTGGAGGCGTTCGCCGTCCCGGAGAAGGCGCTGGAACAGACCCGACTGACTCTGGGCATAAACCTGAGCAGCATCACGGCGCTGCGTAACCCCGCGACCGCCGCCCCCGCCAACGCCATCATCACCGCGGCGACGGGGGCCCCGGTGACCGCCTCGTTCCTGTCGTCGGGGGCGGGGCACGAGGCCCGGGTCTTTGACTGGAGCTCCGGTTTGACTGCCGAGGAGGAGCTCTGATTGGACGATACGCGGATGAGCTCTCGTGTGATTGGTGGACGCGCACATTCCCCCGCCTCCCCAGGGTCACGTGATCTGGAGGGAGGGAGCCAGAACGCCGCGGCAACAGAAGCAAACGCGCCAATAAGACACACCATGAATTTTGGACTTCTGGTCACCGCGCATGCAAACTGAGAAGGATTCTCTGAGAAAGTGAGCGTCAAACCTCCATGTTTGTTTTCCCAGTGGGATGTTTCTTTTGTCAAAGTCGATCTTTTCAAGTCTTTTGAACCATTTCACTTTTGTTTCTGGTTCTGATATTGTCATATTTTTGGGATTGGGACGTCGTAATTGTGTGGTTGTTGGATCCTAACAGCGGAAAACGACTCGAGAAACGGGCTACGGAAGTTTGTGAAATCCATAAATGCAAAAGTGAATCAGATGTGTGTGACTCAAACCTCCATTCAAACTGTTTCTCTTCCCAACGGAATTGAAAAATAGTGAAAGGTGAAGGCGATGAATCCATGTGTCGTTCGTTCATTCGTTTTTCAAAATAAAATCAAAAATAAGAAAAAAAACAACAACTATTTTCTTCATTATTTGTCTCCAAATCCAAAATGAAAAAACAGATAACGATTCGTTTCCTGTTTCCGTGACTTAAACTGCAACGCCGGACTGAACCAGGACTAAACCAGGTCCAGGACAAGACCAGACCAGGACTGAGACCAGGAACAGGACCAGGACTGAAAATGGTTTAGTCCTGGTTTAGTCCTGGGATCAGGAAACAAATTGTTACCTGTTTTTTCATTTTGGTTTTGGAGACAAATAATGAAAAAAATTTTTTTTTTTGTTTTCTTTTGGTTTTATTTTGGAAAACAAATGAACGAATGATTGACACACGGATTGCGATGGGCAAAATCCAGATCCTTCGCTTCACCTCGGTTATGAATTTAAAAAGTCAACACCAAAGTGAAAGTCTCCAACTGTTCACCAAGAAACACCTTCCACTGCAAAGACCAAGACGTGATGTTTGTGTAAAACCACAAGAACAAGAAAGTGCAGCTCAGTCTGTTTGTCTTCTGCTCCTCTACATTAACAAACTGGATTTTGTTTTGTCGTGGCTCCACAGACAAAATGTTCTCTGTAAACTGAGGATGATTTCTTAGTCAGACAAATGTTTCCTTTTTGTTTCTTCCTGTGGATCAATCCTGCCCATCGCCTTCACCTTTCACTATTTTTCAATTCCGTTGGGAAGAGAAACAGTTTGAATGGAGGTTTGAGTCACACACATCTGATTCACTTTTGCATTTATGGATTTCACAAACTTCCGTAGCCCGTTTCACGAGTCGTTTTCCGCTGTTAGGATCCAACAACCACAACAATTACGACGTCCGAATCCAAAAACTAAAATATGACAATATCAGAACCAGAAACAAAAGTGAAATGGTTCAAAAGACTTGAAAAGATCGACTTTCACACTGGGAAATTAAACATGGAGGTTTGACACTTACTTTTTCGGAGGATCTTTCCCAGTTTGAATTGCGCGAAATTCGTCCGAAGTTACTGATTCTTGTATTTAAGAGAGAAATACGACATTAAATCTGTTGATGTTTCAGAGCCGCCATATTGGACAGGACAGGTGAGACACATTTGCACATTTTTCAAAGGTTTTAAATGGAATGTTAGATTTTAAATCCTTTTTAACGACACAAACGCAGCTTTCAGGTGTTAATGTTGTTTTTTATAATTAACAGAATAACTCTTTTATATGTTGACGGTTCAGATGATCCACAGGCGACGCGTCTCCCTGCCCAATATGGCGGAGCGTTTCTCTCACGTTCACCTCGGTTATTTATTTTCAGAGAGTCCTGGTGTTTGATATGAAGTAAAAAAAAAACATATTTAATTTAATTTAATTTGAGAATCTCCAGTTTGTGTTTGGCAAAAGGTTCAGAAATAAACATGTGTCGTGTGTTTCAGCTGCTGAAGTTTTAACTCAACCCAAAAAGTGTTTATTTTCTTTATTATTATTGTTAAATTCAGTTTAAAGTACATGAAATTTGTTACTGTTTGTTGTGTTTAAAAATCCAACATCACACAAAACTGACTCTTGTTAAGTTTAAGTCGTGTTCTAAAGTTAACGCCTCAAAAACTGAGCTGGAGAATCTGAGTGTCGTTCGTTCATTTGTTTTTTAAACTAAAACCAAAAAAATGCAAAAATTTCTTCATTATTTGTCTCCAAAACCAAAATGAAAAAACAGATAATGATTCGTTTTTTCAGTTTTCGATTTTGTGTTTAAATGAAAAATGAAAAAAATGAATAATGGACTGAACCAGGACTAAAACAGGACTAAACCAGGACTAAACCGTTTTCGGTCCCGATCTCAGTCCCGGTCTCAGTCCCGGTCTCAGTCCCGGTCTCAGTCCCGGTCTGGTCGTCTCGATCCTGGTCTTAGTTCTGGTCTCAATCACAGTCTGGTCCTGGTCTGGTCCTGATTTAAGTCCTAGTCTCAGCCCCGGTCTGGTTCCTGTCTGGTCCCGAACCTGGTTTAATCCTGGTCTGGTCCCAGTCTCAGGTCTGGTCCCGGTCCAAGTCCTGGTCTCAGCCCCGGTCTGGTTCCGATCTGGTCCCGGACCTGGTTTAGTTCTGGCCTGGTCCCGGTCTCGGACCATGTCTCGGTCCCTGTCTCAGTCCCGGTCTCAATCCTGGTCTCAATCACGGTCTGGTCCTGGTCTGGTCCCGGTCTCGGTCCTGGTCTCGGTCCTGGTCTCGGTCCTGGTCTCGGTCCTGGTCTCGGTCCTGGTCTGGTCCCGGCCTCAGGTCTGGTCCCGGTCTTGGTCCCGGTCTCAGTGTCGGTCTCAATCATGGTTTGGTCCTGGTCTAAGTCCTGGTTTCAGTCCTGGTTTCAATCCTGGTCTCAGCCCCAGTCTGGTTCCGGTCTGGTCCCGGGCCTGTTTTAGTCCTGGTTTAGTCCGTTATCAGTTTTTTTTTTCCATTTTTCATTTAAACTCAAAATCGAAAACTGAAAAAATCATTATCTGTTTTTCATTTTGGTTTTGGAGACAAACACAGAAGAAAATATTTGTTTTTTCACTTTCTTATTTTTGTTTTTTTTCTTTTTTGTTTTATTTCATTCACATGTTTGACTCTTTATTATCGGTTTGTTTACGTAAAAATTCAGATTTTTTTGTGAATGAAACAAAAAACAGAAAGAGAAAAGCGACATTCTAACACGGTTTAAAACTCAAAAAAAGAGTCTGTTTTGTTTGATCTGAAACCTTTAATGAACAGATGTTGAGAATCATTTAAATATTTCCAGATTCGCACCAGCGCGCCCACGTTTTACCACATCCTTTTATTTATTTAACACAATCTGACACTTTAAAATGATATTTAAAAAGTGCAATGTTTGAAGAAGAACTAAAGATAAAGATTTGGAAATACTGTTTTTTATTTAAGACTTATTCACCAGCCTTTGTGTTTGTTTTTTTGTTTTTATTTAAATGTTTGGTTTTGTTACTTTTGCTGCTAAAACACAACTTAACATTTCTGACCATTAAAAAGTATTTATTTTATGGAAGGTCAAAGGTCAAGTGGAGTTGTGGTTCTGGCTCTCTTTTGGGGCGTTGTTGAAATCTGTAAAATACTGTAAAATATTTCCACAAAAACAAAGAAATGAAAAGTTTGAAGAGTCTGCGTCCTGTGGTCATTCCTGCGCTCGGACACTAGAGGGAGACAAAGAACAAGAGCAGAACTGGAGTCGTGTTTCGTTTCATTCACACGTGTTTCAACAAATACATAAACTCTGCACATTTAGGCTGAGTTCATCTCTCAAACACGCCGCTCCACCTTGTGACGTCATCTGGCGATAAAAGAAGTGCTCCACACAGTTTTTATCACCACGAACAGAGAAGTTTGAGCTTTGTGAATGAAACAAAACAACTCCAGCTCTGTTTTTGAGGCGGTGGCAACATTAGAACATGAATTAAAGCTTCACAAGAGTCACTTTGGGGATGTTTGTGTCATGTTGATCTCAGCTGGAGTCTCGAGAGACTAAACCAGGTCCTGGAGTTTCTGATCTCGACTGAACTAAAGGGAAAAGGAGTTGAGAACTTGAAAACTACCACTTCATGACATCACAAGGAGGGAACATCAGAATCTGGTTTAAAGATCACAGGGCTCAGTTTTAAATGGATCAGATTTATTTCACACTCTGAATAATCTGTGGACTCTTTCTCGCTGCACTGACCTGACGGTGACTCTGTTTTAAGTTTTAAGTTACATTTTAAAAACATGAATTCCATGTTTCCTGAAACAAAAGCACCAACGGGTCTCAGACGTGTCAGATCATGAACAAGAGACTAAACCAGGTCTAAGGACAGTGTTTCAACAGAACATGATCATCTCCTGAACTCTGGGAGACACTGAATTGTGAAAGGGAAGAGGAGACTCATCGAGTGGCTCTGTTTGTGGATATCAGGGCTGTGTAGGTTCTTACAAGTCAAGAAAATTATAATTATTAATAAATAGTGATTTAAAGGCGCCACACTACAGGATTTTTCAGTCTTATCGATTTTTATACGAGACATAAAGTGCACATCACAGACACGAGGAGAATCTGATGAGATTTAAAATCTCTGATCTCAAAAACTTCAGCGAGATCTGCACAAAACAGGCTGTAAAGTTTTGAGCACGATCGCATCAGCTGGAACTACTTTTTCAACAGTTTAACTCTCACACTTTGACACATAAATCTGTTTTCAAACACGTTCAGCCCAACCTGGTTTTGATCTGGTTCTGAAAATCAGGTCAAAACAGAGTCTAACCCAGGTCTAAATCTGGTCTAAACCAGGTCTTCAATTTCTAAATTTAAAAACAAAATTCTCACACACATTTTTTGCTTAAAGAAAACTGTTCGAGTGTTAAATGTGTCTAGTGCCTCTACAAATGTTATTTTCAAATAACATTGAATAACATAAACACTGTGTTTGTGATGACCAAAGGTGAAAACAAGTCTTTGACCTCAAGTCCGAGTCAAGTCCCAAGTCAAAGACAGACAAGTCCAAGTCGAGTCTCGAGCCACTGGTCAATAAGTCCAAGTCAAGTCCAAGTCGTCTCCTTTGAGCTTCAAGTCATTTCAAGTTTTTAAACCAAAGAACCAAATATACTTGGATTTTTGCAATTTATATGAATTTTAAGATAAATTGTCCGTTAAGTCACAGTAGTGAGTATATATATATATATTATATATATATATATACTATATATATATATATATATATATATATATATATATATATAGTGAGTATATATATATATATATACTCATATATATATATATATATATATATATATATATAGTGAGTATATATATATATATATATACTCACTATATATATATATAGTAGTATATATAGTGAGTATATAAGAGATGTACAAACTGGTTTAGATCATTTTTCCTTGTTAAACGCCTTGACAAGATCTTAGTGTGAATCATTACCATCAGAATAGAAAGAATTCAGTTGTTAAGGGGAGAGTGACACAGGCGGAGGGGCGGGTACCTCACAGAGGTGAGTACCTCACAGTGGTGAGTACCTCACTGTGGTGAGTACCTCTCGGTGTGGGTGTGTAGCGGCGAGAGCCTCACAGTGGTGAGTACCTCACTGCGGTGAGTACCTCGGTGTGGGTGTGTAGCGGTGAGTACCTCACTGTGGTGAGTACCTCACTGCGGTGAGTACCTCGGTGTGGGTGTGTAGCGGCGAGTACCTCACTGCGGTGAGTACCTCACTGCGGTGAGTACCTCACAGAGGTGAGTACCTCGGTGTGGGTGTGTAGCGGCGAGTACCTCACAGTGGCGAGTACCTCACAGTGGCGAGTACCTCACAGTGGCGAGTACCTCACTGCGGTGAGTACCTCGGTGTGGGTGTGTAGCGGCGAGTACCTCACTGCGGTGAGTACCTCACAGAGGTGAGTACCTCGGTGTGGGTGTTAGTACCTCAGGGCGAGTACTCACAGTGGCGAGTACCTCACAGTGGCGAGTACCTCACTGTGGTGAGTACCTCGGTGTGGGTGTGTAGCGGCGAGTACCTCACTGCGGTGAGTACCTCACAGGGTGAGTACCTCGGTGGGGTGTGTAGCGGCGAGTGAGTACCTCACAGTGGCGAGTGTGTACCTCACTGCGGTGAGTACCTCGGTGTGGGTGTGTAGCGGTGAGTACCTGTCACGTCGTGTGCAGTCGTATTTGTGTTTGTAAAAGTAAATCCAGGTTGAAGTTTTTATTATTTACAGTTTGTACATTCACACGTGTCACAGTTTCAACTCAGATCTGGAGTTTCCCCTGAACTCAACATTTACACAGAAAATTCAAGAAACAAAATGAAATTACAAAAATTCAAATCCATCCAGAAGTTTAAGTGTTTTTTCTGTAAAATCTGACACAGATTCACAAACGACCAGATCTACTCAACTGATCTAATCTCGTTTTTTTGTTTCATTCACGTGTTTAACTCACAAACCAATACACAGGAAACACTCTGTTCCACCTTGTGATGTCATCATGTGGTGATACAGGAAGTGCTCCACTGTGTTTTTAAACTCCACACACCTTCACTAGAATCATCTGGATCATTTCAGTCCTGGAGTTTCCGATCTCGACTGAACTAAAGGGAAAAGGAGCTGAGAACTTGAAAACTACCACTTCATGACATCACAAGGTGGAACATTAGAACCTGGGTTAAAGCTCACGGGGGCAGTTTTAAACAGATCACATTTATTTCACACTTTGAATCTGTGGACTTTTTCTCGCTGCGCTGACCTGACGGTGAAGGAAGCGTCTGGTTTCTCAGGAGCTTCAGGAGCTTCAGGTTTGGGGCCTCAGAGACGTGTCAGATTATGAACAAGACCTGGTTAAATCCAAGTCCAGACCTGGTCCAGACCTGGTCCAGACCTGGTCCAAATCTGGTGCAGAAGGAAAATTATGTAACAACACAATGCTCTGCTGGAAATCAAATACTTAAACAGAATTAAACCTGGATTAAACCTGGACTAAATCTGGACTAAATCTGGACTAAACCTGGACTAAACCTGGACTAAACCTGGACTAAATCTGGTCTAAATCTGGACTAAATCTGGACTAAACCTGGACTAAATCTGGACTAAACCTGGACTAAATCTGGACTAAATCTGGACTAAATCTGGACTAAACCTGGACTAAATCTGGTCTAAATCTGGACTAAACCTGGACTAAATCTGGTCTAAATCTGGACTAAACCTGGACTAAATCGCCACCTGTTTGTCTCCATGGAAATGCGCGGCTTTGAGCAGAAAATTCCACAGTTTGGCATTAAAATCTTTTGAGTTTCATTTGTTCAGTTACTGGTGTTTTTATCGCTCAGAAATCCCTCCATAAACAGGATGTTCTTACAGTGAGTGAGCTCGCCTCTCCACAGATCTGACCGAGTTCAAGACGAGTGCAGTGAATCTGTGTCAATCGACAGAAAAAACACTGTGACAACATCAAAAATACAAAGAGAAAAGACAAAAGACTGAACAGAACCGACTCGACTGAACAGAACCGACTCGACTGAACTGAACCGACTCGACTGAACTGAACCGACTCGACTGAACTGAACCGACTCGACTGAACAGGACCGACTCGACTGAACTGAACCGACTCGACTGAACTGAACCGACTCGACTGAACTGAACCGACTCGACTGAACAGAACCGACTCGACTGAACAGAACCGACTCGACTGAAGCGTCTGAGAGTTTCAGCCTCGGGTTTAAATGGATTATTCCAGTTTTTCTTTGTTTGAGAAGAAATGTCCAAGTGCCTCCAGAGTTTCCAGGAGTGAAAAATCCCTCAGACGTCCAGATAAAATCCACGACAAAGGAGAAACTCAATTTGTCTGAACAAACTGGACAAATGTTTATTTGGTCAAAAACATTTTGCAGTTTATCCAGAACTGAAGAAGCAGCTTGGATGAGCTGAGAAATGTTTTTGACCTAAACAAACATTTGTCCAGTTGACAAATTGAATTTCTCCTTTGAGTCTCCAGGTGAAAACAGCGTGAAAAATATTGACTTGTTGTGGAGTTTGTTGCTTCAGAATCGTTTGTTCAGAGACGAAAAATAAAAAAAAAGCTGTGTCCTGCTTCTTACAGATTTAAAAATGTTCGACTCTCAGCTCTGACCCCGTGTCTCCAGATCCTCCAGATCCTCCAGAGACACAGAGACACGTTCTGCATGTGTCTCTTTATTCAGTTTCTGTCTCATGTGAAGCTCAAAACCAGACTTCAGACTTGCAGACTTCCCTCCCTGAGCTGCAGAAGCTGCACTAGCTCTGACTCAGGACTGGTGCAGGAGCCGGGCTTCAGGGAGAGACCATCAGATCAGAGACACATTTCAGGTTTAAACCACAGACTGTAGGTTTGTGGAACTTTTGGTTAGTGTTTTTCTGTGTAAATGTGTGTGTAAATGTGTGTGTAAATGTGTGTGTAAATGTGTGTGTAAATGTGTGTGTAAATGTGTGTGTCGTATTCTCCAGCAGCTTCATAAATCTGGCCAAATCTTCAATCAACAAACTACACAAAGGATAAACATTTTTCATGAACAATTTCTCCACAACTATCAAGAAAAGAAAGACCAAAACTTAAAGGAAACAACAAGTCACATTAGTCACACAACAAACTCAACTCATGTTCTGGTCCTAGAGACGCTCACATTCAAACTGCACAAATCTCTGTGTTTGTGCAAATCTCTACATCATCAAATCCAATTTTAATTTGAATAGTAGAATGAGTCTGAGTGAACAAGTTGCTTCAGTTTTATTCATGATCCTAACAGTCATAACAGTTAGTTTAGTTCCGTCGCAGTGGCGGAGGGAACAATTTGAGGGCCTTAGGTGAACTTGTGTTTGGGGCCGTCACCATATGAACTGTTATGTTGTTATTGATTTTATTTTTAATACTTATTGTCTCTTTTTCCCCATCGTTCTTGAGACACACACGTCTCTATTTGAATTACGGTGGATTGGAAACTTGTTTTATTAGTTCGGTCGCCAAACTGAAAGTAGGTTTTTTATTTTTTTTATTTTGCGAGTACAATATATGATTATGATTCTGCTGTGATTATGGCCTCGTCCACACTAGTTCGCACTCGAGTTGTTTTGGTTGTGGATGCAGTGTTCGTTCACATTAATCCGAATGAAAACCGCTCCAGAGTCTGAACGATCTGGTGCCTCCAGCTCCACGAGTTCATGTTGGTCCAGATGTGACGGGGACTGTGTGACTCCTGAAAACTGATAGTCTGATGTGGGTCTGTCACCGCCAACTCACTCACCCACAAAACACTAAGAGACAGAATATGTGTCCACTCATATAAACGTGTGTCTGTGTGTACGACCTGCACACGTATAATGTGTGAAAAGTTTCACATGAACCAACAACACGACAGAAACACAGAACAGACTCACCATCAGCAGAACACCCCTCTGTCACAGAAAGAACACTCAGATTCCACTGAGTCGTGTCTTTTAGTCCAACAAAAACTGAACCACATCAGACACAAGGAAAGAACTGTTTTTTTTTTTTTAGATTAGTTTATGTAAATGAATCATGTGTTTTTAAGTTTTTCGTTTCTGTAAAACATAAACAAATGTGCTCAAAGTTGTGTGAACAGAGAAGATTTGCGGACACAGAAACAACATGTCTGGATGCAGATCGTTTCTGACACTGATACGGTGATTTGTTTCAGAGTAAACGTAGCCTATGTTCAAATCAGGGTCAAGCGGACGAGTCCATTCTAATGTAAAAGGGGGGGGGGGCTTTGACAGTTAAAACAGATTTGACAATCAGATAATATTTTGATGATGTTTTCTTTTCTCATTTAATGTCATATTGAGAGAAAATCAAATTACACTGAGGCCTCGACCATTTGTGGCACTCAGGGACATTGGTTGGGGGCCCCTTCAGGTTCGGGGGCCCTGCGCAGTCGTCTACTTTTGCCTAATGGTAGCGCCGCCTCTGCTCAGTGTGTGACTAAAGCTGGTTGTTGTTTCCTTTAAGTTTTGTTCTTTCTTGATCGTTGTGGATACATTTTTCATGTTAGAATGTTTATCCATTGTGGAGCTTGTTGGTTGAAGATTTAGTGATGGGGCAGAAAACCATTAACCAAAAGTTCTTCAAACCTAAAGCGGGACATTTCCGGTCGTTGTGAAAAAGGTCGACATGTGAAAGTGAAAGTGAAAGTTTGCTGCAGTCTGGCTTCGTCTCTGAGGTTTAACTGACGAGAAAAGCCCCGAAGAAGCTGCTCCTCTCGTCCATGTCGACGGCCGAGGCGTTGGTCACCGTGACGAAGAGGCGGTCTCCTGTGGCCAGAGGGAACAGCCCCCCCTGGTGGGCGGAGTGCAGAGAGAACTCAGAACCTCTGGACCAACACGAAGTCCTGCTCGTCTTCATCAGGAGGATGGGAACTGGGTACGAACTCACCTGAAGGAGAAGAGGCATGTGAGACCATAGCAGGACTAAACCAGGACTAAACCAGGACTAAACCAGGACTAAACCAGGACTAAACCAGGACTGAACCAGGTCTGAACCAGGTCTGAACCAGGTCTGAACCAGGTCTGAACCAGGTCTAAATCAGGACTAAACCAGGACTGAACCAGGTCTGAACCAGGTCTGAACCAGGTCTAAATCAGGACTAAACCAGGACTGAACCAGGTCTGAACTAGGATTAAACCAGGTCTAAATCAGGACTAAACCAGGTCTAAATCAGGACTAAACCAGGACTAAACCAGGTCTGAACCAGGTCTAAATCAGGACTAAACCAGGACTAAACCAGGTCTGAACCAGGTCTGAACCAGGTCTGAACTAGGATTAAACCAGGTCTAAATCAGGACTAAACCAGGTCTGAACTAGGATTAAACCAGGTCTAAATCAGGACTAAACCAGGTCTAAATCAGGACTAAACCAGGACTAAACCAGGTCTGAACCAGGTCTGAACTAGGATTAAACCAGGTCTAAATCAGGACTAAACCAGGTCTAAATCAGGACTAAACCAGGACTAAACCAGGTCTGAAACCAGGTCTAAATCAGGACTAAACCAGGACTAAACCAGGTCTGAACCAGGTCTGAACTAGGATTAAACCAGGTCTAAATCAGGACTAAACCAGGTAACTAGGATTAAACCAGGTCTAAATCAGGACTAAACCAGGTCTAAATCAGGACTAAACCAGGACTAAACCAGGTCTAAAGGTCTAAATCAGGACTAAACCAGGACTGAACCAGGTCTGAACCAGGTCTGAACTAGGATTAAACCAGGTCTAAATCAGGACTAAACCAGGTCTAAATCAGGACTAAACCAGGACTAAACCAGGTCTGAACCAGGTCTAAATCAGGACTAAACCAGTCTAAAAACCAGGACTAAACCAGGTCTGAACCAGGTCTAAATCAGGACTAAACCAGGACTAAACCAGGTCTGAACCAGGTCTAAACCAGGACTAAACCAGGACTAAACCAGAACCAGGTCTGAACTAGGATTAAACCAGGTCTAAATCAGGACTAAACCAGGTCTGAACTAGGATTAAACCAGGTCTAAATCAGGACTAAACCAGGAAACAGGAAAACTAAACCAGGTCTAACCAGGTCTAAATCAGGACTAAACCAGGACTAAACCAGGTCTGAACCAGGTCTGAACTAGGATTAAACCAGGTCTAAATCAGACTAAACCAGGTCTAAATCAGGACTAAACCAGGACTAAACCAGGTCTGAACCAGGTCTAAATCAGGACTAAACCAGGTCTGAACCAGGTCTAAATCAGGACTAAACCAGGACTAAACCAGGTCTGAACCAGGTCTGAACCAGGACTAAACCAGGTCTAAATCAGGTCTAAACCAGGTCTAAACCGGGCAGTGGCAGGGTAACAGTAGTAATAAATACGACACTAGTAATAATTTCTAGATCATTGTTATAAACTTGGACTGATATTTCTTGGGAAACAAAGGGTTAATATAATGGAATTGAAATGGACCAATCACAGTTTTTCTTCCAGTTGTATCTGGGTAAATCAGTGACTCCCCCTGCAGGACTGAACTAAACAAACACCTGCAGGACCTTCGCCTTCCTGTAGCGAAGGTCTGAGCAATACAAGTCCATGTGGGGGGGAGTTTGAGAGTGACAGTTGTTTTAGTCATATTTCACTGAGTTACGGGCGAGATCATATCACCACATCTTCTGGGCCTTCGTGATTATTCTGATATATGAAATATAAGTGAGACCGCAGCGTCAAAAAACACACTGGGCGTCTGTATTTGGACGCCTTCGGGATGTCAGAAAGAAGGAGAAGAAGGAACGACCCGAGAACCGGAGCCTGGAGCCGTGGCTCAGAGCCCACGGAGGAGTCTGCATTTGTTGAACAGCAGCTAATGATTATTAAAGAAATATATGAAGTAAGCTTTATTTAGTTTATTATTATTTTTAATAAATGATGTCATGATTGCCAGCGACTGGTCCTAGTGAAGGCCCAGGGTCCAGGTCCACGGTTCTCCACTGAGTATTACTGTTATTGTGTATTAGCAGTGTGGAATGGGGATTTTTTAAGTGAAGGTAAGAGATTCCTGACTGAACCAGGACTGAACCAGGACTAAAACAGGACTAAAGAGGGCACACTCACAGTTTAACCCTGTTTTAGTCCTGGTTCAGTCCTGGTTCAGTCCTGGTTCAGAGTGCACTCACACTAGGACCTTAGAAAGTGCCCAAGCACAGATCCCCCCCAAAGCGCGGTACATTTGTCCATTGTGAGCGCAATCAAACCATGCTCAGGTACGGCACGGTTCTAAAGTCATAGTGTGAGTACACCCTTAGTCCTGTTTTAGTCCTGTTTTAGTCCTGGTTTAGTCCTGGTTTAGTCCTGGTTTAGTCCTGTCCTGGTTTAGTCCCGGTTTAGTCCTGTTTTAGTCCTGGTTTAGTGTTTTTCGTACCTTCTTGTAGACGTACTGCAGCAGGGGCCTCCCCCTCTCTCCTCTCTCCTCCTCGTGTGGCTCCTCCGGCTCCTCCGGCTCCTCTGGCTCCCCCTGGTGGTGTCTGAAGTACACCTGGGCGTAGATGTAGTAGAGTCCTCCTCGTGACACCACCAGCTCCCCCTGCTGGAGCTCCACGTCCTGCAGGAACCCCAGACCCCTGTGCCCGTCCCACCACGAGATCTTCTGCCCCTGGACCCGACGCCCACTCCAAGAAGACGCTGATGGAGCGAGAAGAGAGGGAAAGAGAAGAGAGGGAAAGAGAGGAGAGGGAAAGAGAAGAGAGGGAGGAGAGGTTAAACTGGGTGAGACAGACTTTATCTCCGCTCAGACTCAGACCTGGACCTGGACCTGAACCTGGACTTTCTCACCTGCTGCGTCTGGACTCGGTTTGGGCACAAAGCTCCCGGTGACGTGAGCCGCCACTTTGGGCCGAGACGTGTTCTCCTCCAGAACCACAGAGGGCAGCACCCGCGAAACCTCGTCTACAGGAGAGACACATGCTCTTTAAACACAACAACAGCAGTGTGCAGGAGTCACAGCGGGAATCTAACACCCAACTCTGTAAACTCTGTAAAAACTCTGTAAACCCCATAAACCCTGTAAACTCCGTTAAACTCTATAAACTCTGTAAACAGCGTAAACCCTGTAAACCCCGTAAACCCCGTTAAACCCTATAAACTCCGTAAACCCCGTAAACCCCGTTAAACCCTATAAACTCTGTAAACCCTGTAAACTCCATTAAACCCTATAAACCCTATAAACTCTATCAACTCTGTAAACAGCGTAAACCCTGTAAACCCCGTTAAACCCTATAAACTCCGTAAACCCCGTAAACCCTGTAAACCCCGTAAAACCCTATAAACTCTATAAACTCCGTAAACCCTGTAAACCCCGTAAACCTTGTAAACCCCGTAAACCCTGTAAAACCCCGTGAACCCTGTAAACCCCGTAAACCCTGTAAAACCCCGTAAACCCTGTAAACCCCATAAACTTTGTAAATCTCGTAAACCCTGTAAACCTCACCTCTGACGGCCGAGGAGATGTGCCTCTGGTATCTCTGGGACAGGGACTGTGGACACAACAGTTACACTTTAATGTCACGTTTAAAATATGAACTTCACAATGACACGACAGGTGAGTCCAGGTGAGTCCAGGTGAGTCCAGGTGAGTCCAGGTGAGTCCAGGAGGGATGTTCAGGTGAGTCCAGGTGAGTCCAGGTGAGTCCAAGTGAGTCCAGGAGAGGGATGTACAGGTGAGTCCAGGTGAGTCCAGGTGAGTCCAGGAGAGGGATGTACAGGTGAGTCCAGGTGAGTCCAGGTGAGGGGCTGTAGCAGTATTGTAACTACCTCCTAACTCCTATCTCCTACCTCCTATCGTCTACCTCCTATCTCCTGCCCCCTATCTCCTATCTTCTACCTCCTAAGTCCTACCTCCTAACTATTACCTCCTGCCTCCTAAATATTACCTACTAACTCCTATCTTCTACCTCTTAGCTCCTAACTATTATCTCACACCTCCTACATCCTATCTCTTCACTCCTAACCTCCTTCCTCCTACCTCCTAACTATTACCTCCTTCCTCCTACCTCCTAACTATTACCTCCTTCCTCCTACCTCCTAACTATTACCTCCTTCCTCCTAACTCCTACCTTCTAACTCCTATCTTCTACCTCCTAACTCCTAACTACTACCTCCTAACTCCTATCTCTTAACTATTACCTCCTATCTCCTCACTCCTATCTCCAAACTCCTACCTCCTACCTCCTAGAGCAGGTGAGTTCAGGTGAGTCCAGGTGAGTCCAGGTGAGTCTAAGTGAGTCTAAGTGAGTCCAGGTGAGTCCAGGTGAGTCCAGGTGAGTCCAGGTGAGTCCAGGTGAGTCCAGGTGGGTCCAGGTGGGTCCAGGTGGGTCCTGGTGGGTCCAGGTGAGGGGTTGTAGCAGTAGCGTGTTAGCTCGGCGTTAGCGTAGCCGGTGCATTCCTTTGGTGATTACAGTGAGCCTCATGAACGACGTCTTTGTGCTGAACTCAGATCGTTTACACACAGACAAACGACAGACTCCAACCGCGACAGGTACGAGCCCCCGCCCACAGGCACAAGCCCCGCCCATTTAAACACGCAGGCTACGGTCAGGGCCATGCTAGCTCGGCCCTGCCCAATCCGCGTCGGTCCAGTTTGTGCATCAGGAGAGGGTTTTTTTTGTTGTTGTTTTTTTTTCAGTAATTTTCAGCCGTTCCTTCCTCTGTTCCTCCCTCTGTCACGGGTCAGAGCGAGGGGGGAGGGGGGGAGGGGGTGATGGAGAGAACAGCCAGACAGAGGGCGGAGGGAGGAGGGGGGAAGAGCCAAACGTGGAGTCCAGACTTTATGAATGTGTCAGATAAGAAAGACTAGAATAACACCAGACGAGAAAGGGAGGAAAGGACGGAGGGAGGTGAAGGAAAACAGAGAGGAGAAGAGGGGAGGGAGAGAGAGAGAGAGAGAGAGGGGGGAGTGTGGGAAGAGAAGAAAGATAAGAGGAGAGAGAGACAAAGAGGGGAAGTGTATGAGTCGAGAGGCAGAAAAAGAAAAGGAGGAGAAGGAGAAAGAGAAAGAGGAGAAGCAAAAGAGAGAGAGGAGAAGAGGAGAGAAAGAGGGGAGTGTGGGAAGAGAGAGAGAGATACGAGGTAAGGGAGAGAGAAAAAGAGTAAGAAAGAGAAGAGTAGGGGGAGAAAGAGAGAGGGAGATAGAGAGAGTAAGAGGAGAGAGAGACAAAGAGGAGAAGTGTATGGAAGGAGAGGGAGAGAGAAAGAGAAGAGAAAGAAGAGGAGGAGGTGAAAGAGAGAGAGAAAGAGAAGAACAAGAGGAGAAAGAGAGGGGAGTGGAAGAGAGGAAGAACAAGAAGAGGAGGAGGAGGAAAAAGAGAGAGAGAAAAGAGAGAGGGAAACAGCGGGGGGGAGAAAGAGAGAGAGATATGAGGGGAGGCAGGGAGGGAGAGAGAAAGAGGAAGAAAGAGAAGAGGAGGAGGAGGAGAAAGAGAGAGAGAAGGGGAGAAAGAGAGAGGGAGAGGAGAGAGACAAAGAGGGAAAGTGTATGAGAGGAGAGGGAAAGAGAGAGGGGGAGGGAGAAAGGAGGAGGAGAAAGAGAGAGAGGTGGAGGCAGGGAGGGGGAGAGAAAGAAAGAAAGAAAGAAAGAGAGGAAGGGATGCAGAGAGGAGAAGGAAAAGAGTGAGAGGAAAAGAGGAGAGAGAGACAAAGAAGGGAAGTCTATGGGAGGAGAGGGAGAGAGAGAGACGGAAGGAAAGGGAAAGAGAAAGAGGAGGAGGAGAAAGAGAGGGAGAGAGAATGAAAACAGTGAGGGAGAGGAGAAGGAGAGAGGGAGAGAGTGATGAAGAGGTGAAGAGAAGGAGGAGGAGGAGGAGGAGGGAGAGAGAGTAATGACGGAGAGGAGAGGGAGTGTGGGAATAGAGAGAAAAGACGGAGGAGGTGTCAGGATTTAATCAGGACGATGAACGACTTTGACCTGGAGCCAGAGGAAGAACAACATCTGTATCCAGCGTGTCAGATGCCCTCCCACACTCCTGTCTGTATCCAGCGTGTCAGATGCCCTCCCACACTCCTCCGTCCAGCGTGTCAGATGCCCTCCCACACTCCTCTGTATCCAGTGTGTCAGATGCCCTCCCACACTCCTCCCAGTGTGTCAGATGCCCTCCCACACTCCTCCGTCCAGTGCGTCAGATGCCCTCCCACACTCCTCTGTGTCCAGCGTGTCAGATGCCCTCCCACACTCCTCCGTCCAGTGTGTCAGATGCCCTCCCACACTCCTCCGTCCAGCGCGTCAGATGCCCTCCCACACTCCTCTGTATCCAGTGTGTCAGATGCCCTCCCACACTCCTCCGTCCAGCGCGTCAGATGCCCTCCCACACTCCTCCGTCCAGCGTCAGATGCCCTCCCAGTCCAGTGTGTCCCACACTCCTGTCTGTGTTCAGATGCCCTCCCACACTCCTCCGTCCAGCGTGTCAGATGCCCTCCCACACTCCTCCGTCCAGCGTGTCAGATGCCCTCCCACTCCTCTGTATCCAGTGTGTCAGATGCCCTCCCACACTCCTCCGTCCAGTGCGTCAGATGCCCTCCCACACTCCTCCGTCCAGCGCGTCAGATGCCCTCCCACACTCCTCCGTCCAGTGTGTCAGATGCCCTCCCACACTCCTCCGTCCAGTGTGTCAGATGCCCTCCCACACTCCTCCGTCCAGTGCGTCAGATGCCCTCCCACACTCCTGTCTGTGTGTCAGATGCCCTCCCACACTCCTCCGTCCAGTGTGTCAGATGCCCTCCCACACTCCTCCGTCCAGCGCGTCAGATGCCCTCCCACACTCCTCTGTATCCAGTGTGTCAGATGCCCTCCCACACTCCTCCGTCCAGTGTGTCAGATGCCCTCCCACACTCCTGTTCTGTGTGTCAGATGCCCTCCCACACTCCTCCGTCCAGTCGCGTGCAGATGCCCTCCCACACTCCTCCCCTCCCACACTCCTCCGTCCAGCGCGTCAGATGCCCTCCCACACTCCTCCGTCCAGTGCGTCAGATGCCCTCCCACACTCCTGTCCAGTGTGTCAGATGCCCCCCACACTCCTCTGTCCAGTGTGTCAGATGCCCTCCCACACTCCTCCGTCCAGTGTCAGATGCCTCCCAACTCCTCCGTCCAGTGTGTCAGATGCCCTCCCACACTCCTCCGTCCAGCGCGTCAGATGCCCTCCCACACTCCTCTGTATCCAGTGTGTCAGATGCCCTCCCACACTCCTCCGTCCAGCGTGTCAGATGCCCTCCCACACTCCTCCGTCCAGTGCCCTCCACACTCCTGTCAGATGCCCTCCCACACTCCTCCGTCCAGTGCGTGTGTGCCCTCCCACACTCCTCCGTCCAGCGTGTCAGATTGCCCTCCCACACTCCTCCGTCCAGCGTGTCAGATGCCCTCCCACACTCCTCAGCGTCCAGTGCCCTCCCACTCCGTCCAGATGTGTCAGATGCCCTCCACACTCCTCCGTCCAGCGTGTCAGATGCCCTCCCACACTCCTCTGTCCAGTGTGTCAGATGCCCTCCCACACTCCTCCGTCCAGTGCGTCAGATGCCCTCCCACAGTCCTCACAGTGTCAGATGCCCTCCCACTCCTGTCTGTGTGTCAGATGCCCTCCCCGTCCAGTCAGTGCCCTCCCACACTCCTCCGTCCAGCGCGTCAGATGCCCTCCCACACTCCTCCGTCCAGCGCGTCAGATGCCTCCCACACTCCTCCGTCCACATGCCCTCCCACCTCCGTGTGTCAGATGCCCTCCCACACTCCTGTCGTCAGTCCCTCAGATGCCCCACAGTCCTCACAGTGTCAGATGCCCTCCCACACTCCTGTTCTGTGTGTCAGATGCCCTCCCACACCTCCGTCAGTGTCAGATGCCCTCCCACACTCCTCCGTTCAGATGCCCTCCCACACTCCTCTGTATCCAGTGTGTCAGATGCCCTCCCACACTCCTCTGTCATGTCCCCTCCACACTCCTGTTCTGTCAGATGCCCTCCTGTTCTGTGTGTCAGATGCCCTCCCACACTCCTGTTCTGTGTGTCAGATGCCCTCCACACTCCTCCCGTCCAGTGTGTCAGATGCCCCTCCCACACTCCTCCCCAGTGTGTCAGATCTCCCAGTCCCAGTGTGTCAGATGCCCTCCCACACTCCTCCGTCCAGTGTGTCAGATGCCTCCCACACCCTCCCACACTCCTCCGTCCAGTGTCAGATGCCCTCCCACCACTCCTCCCAGTGTGTCAGATGCCCTCCCACACTCCTCCGTCCAGTGTCAGATCCCTCCCACACTCCTCCGTGCGTGTCAGATGCCCTCCCACACTCCTCTGTATCCAGTGTGTCAGATGCCCCCCACACTCCTCCGTCCAGTGCGTCAGATGCCCTCCCACACTCCTCCGTCCAGTGTGTCAGATGCCCTCCCACACTCCTCTGTATCCAGTGTGTCAGATGCCCTCCCACACTCCTCTGTCCAGCGTGTCAGATGCCCTCCACACTCCTGTTCTGTGTGTCAGATGCCCTCCCACACTCCTGTTCTGTGTGTCAGATGCCCTCCCACACTCCTCCGTCCAGCGAGTCAGATGCCCTCCCACACTCCTGTTCTGTGTGTCAGATGCCCTCCCACACTCCTCCGTCCAGTGTGTCAGATGCCCTCCCACACTCCTCCGTCCAGCGTGTCAGATGCCCTCCCACACTCCTCCGTCCAGTGCGTCAGATGCCCTCCCACACTCCTCCCAGTGTCAGATGCCCTCCCACACTCTCTGTCCAGTGTGTCAGATGCCCTCCCACACTCCTCCGTCCAGTGTGTCAGATGCCCTCCCACACTCCTCCGTCCAGTGTCAGATGCCCTCCCACACTCCTCCGTCCAGCGTGTCAGATGCCCTCCCACACTCCTCCGTCCAGCGTGTCAGATGCCCTCCCACACTCCTCTGTAATCCAGTGTGTCAGATGCCCTCCACACTCCTCTTATCCAGTGTGTCAGATGCCCTCCCACACTCCTCCGTCCAGTGCGTCAGATGCCCTCCCACACTCCTCCGTCCAGTGTGTCAGATGCCCTCCCACACTCCTCTGTCCAGTGTGTCAGATGCCCTCCCACACTCCTCCGTCCAGCGCGTCAGATGCCCTCCCACACTCCTCCGTCCAGCGT